GTCGTCGTCGAACCTTCTAAGACCTCCTCTTTGTCCGACCAACGAAATTGATGTGCTAGTAGAAGGTGTTGCTGTACGTGCACTTGTCGACACAGACGCCGTCGTTTCTGTAATTAGTGAAAAACTGTGTCGCGATTTGAGAAAAGTTACAACGCCGCTTACGAATCTTGCTCTGTGTACAGACACCTCCCATTTCATCGCGCCGACAGCTCAGTGCACAGCACGCGTTCTTATTCAAGACGTTTGGTACACCGTCAACTTTGTTGTTCTCCCAGGTTCATCTTACGACGTCATACTAGGATGGGATTTCCTTTCTACCCATCAGGCCCTCGTCGACTGCGCTCGTGCTGAACTCACGTTGACGAATCCGTGCCTTGATATCGACCACCACAGTCCCTCGAAAGTGTTTGCCGCAGCTGACGTCCGCATCGCGCCGTTGTCCGCCGTCCTATTGCCTGTGTTTTCCCCTGCTGCCACTAACTCGACGCTCCTGTTCCAACCAACTATAGCTAGTTGTCAACACCGAACCATCGTCCTCCCGTTTGCCGTCATCAACTTTTCCAATGGTTCGGCGGTACTTTATGCGTGCAACGTTTCTGCTTGTCCGTACATCCTGCTACGCGGTGAGTATCTGGGAAGCCTCGAGACCTTAAATTGTATTTTCAAAGACCCGATCTATCCAGACAAGCCATTTTTACCAACTTGTGCCATTACACCCGCAACTGACGCTAATGAACCTATGGATGTATTCCGCAAGTCCATTGATTGTAACATCACGCCTGGGAAGCAGGAACAGCTGATCAAGCTCCTACAGCGTTTTCGAGCCTCGTTTGACCACAATCAGCCTTCCTTAGGTCGAGCATCATCTGTTGTTCACCGTATAGATACCGGTCAAGAGACGCCATTACGGCAGCGTCCATATCATGTGTCAACTACCGAACACCGTGCCATCAATGAACAGGTTGACGACATGCTGACACGTGGCATAATCGAACCGTCAAGCAGTCCCTCGGCCTCTCCAGTTGTGTTGGTGAAGAAGAAGGACGGATCCATCAGATTTTGCATGAACTACCGGCGTCTCAACCGAATCACGCGCAAGGATGTCTATCCGCTGCCACGCATTGACGATGCCTTGGACTGCCTACAGGGAGCCGAATTTTTCTCTTCTTTAGATCTGCGCTCTAGATACTGGCAGGTACCCAAGGCAGAGGCCGATCGTGAAAAAACTGCTTTCATCACGCCCGACGGCCTTTACGAATTCACAGTCATGCCCTTCGGCCTCTGCAACGCGCCGGCTACTTTCGAGCGGATGATGGACTCTATCCTTCGAGGCCTCAAATGGAACGTTTGCCTTTGTTATTTAGATGACATTGTCGTCTTTTCAACTGATTTCGCAACCCATTTAACCCGCCTCGAGAAAGTCCTCGCGTGTATTTCTGTCGCGGGCCTGCAACTGAATCTGAAGAAGTGCAATTTCGCCGCTCGAAAGCTTACGATCCTTGGCCACGTGGTTTCAAAGGACGGCATTCTTCCTGACCCTGCCAAACTTACAGCCGTTTCAGCATTTCCCAAACCGACCACCATAAAAGAGCTCCGAAGCTTCATAGGCCTTTGCTCTTACTTCCGGTGCTTCGTCCACAATTTCGCGACGATCATCGCTCCTTTGACCAAGCTCCTCGCCGGCTCTAGAGACCTTTCAGCCTGGTCTGCCACCTGTGACGACTCTTTCAATGAACTGCGCCGCCTCCTCACGTCGCCGCCTATTCTGCGACACTGCGACCCATCGGCATCCACAGAGATCCACACCAACGCTAGTGGTGTCGGGCTAGGCGCTATTCTTGCACAGAAGAAAGACGGCTTCCAAGAGTACGTGGTTGCCTACGCAAGCCGAACTCTTAGCAAAACCGAAACCAACTATTCTGTCACCGAAAAGGAATGCCTCGCCATTATTTGGGCGATAGAGAAATTTCGACCTTACGTGTACGAGCGCCCTTTTGACGTCGTGACTGACCACCACGCCCTCTGCTGGTTGTCGTCACTGAAGGATCCAAGCGGTCGCGTCGCCCGATGGGCATTACGCCTCCAAGAATATAATATTCGCATGGTCTATCGCTCCGGCCAGAAACATTCGGACGCAGGCGCCCTATCCCGTTCGCCTCTACCCCCTGACCCGGACTGCTGCGAAAGTCTAACCTGTGATGCCACTGCCGTCGCGATCGCCGACATGCCATCTGAGCAACGCAAGGACCCTTGGGTTGCTTCGATTCAAGACATCCTGGCTGGGCGGACGGCTTCTACCCCTTCTCGCACGTTGTGTCGGCAAGTCGAGCACTTTGCCACTCGCGATGACGTGCTGTACCGACGCAACTACGCACCCGGTGGACGTCAGTGGCTACTCGTGATTCCACGTCATCTGCGATCCGAAATTTGTTCCACGTTTCATGACGACCCCCAATGTGGCCACGCAGGTTTCCTGAAGACTTATTCTCGCATACGTCTCCGATATTACTGGCGTGGCATGTACCGTTTTATACGACAATACGTTCGGGCCTGCTCGACGTGCCAGAGACGGAAAACTCCCCCTTGTCACGCCAGCGTTACCTTGCTACCCTTACCATGCCCATCCCGACCATTCGACCGCGTCGGCATTGATATCTATGGTCCCCTTCCCAACACTGCTGACGGTAACCGCTGAATCATAGTTGCCGTCGACCATCTCACGCGGTATGCCGAAACTTCATTCCTTCCCTCGTCTACAGCAAAAGACTTTCGTTCTTCACAACATCGTATTACGTCATGCAGCACCTTGGGAGTTACTGAGCGATCGTGGTCGGGTATTCTTGTCAGACGTCATCACAGCATTGATGCGCGAGTGCCACGTCGTTCATCGCACGACAAGCGCCTATCGTCCCCAGACCAATGGAACGACAGAGCGCTTCAACCGCACCCTTGGTGACATGCTGTCTATGTATATCTCGTCAGACCACTCCAATTGGGACCGAGTGCTCCCGTTTATCACGTTCGCCTATAATACCGCCATTCAAAGCACTACTGGGTTCTCTCCTTTTTTCCTCCTTTACGGACGCGAACCTTCTTGCACTATGGACACCATTCTTTCGTACAAACCTGACTCCTCAGAGTCCACGACTTTGTTTCAAGCCGCTACATACGCTGAAGAATGCCGCCAACTGGCAAGATCATTCACAACCCAAAACCAAAGACGCCAAAAGCACCACCATGACGCACCAAATAACACTACTTCCTACGATCCAGGTTCTCTCGTCTACCTGCATGTCCCTTCTGCTACACCTGGCCTTTCTACCAAGTTGGTCCCCAAGTACCACGGCCCAGATCGTGTGCTACAAAAAATGTCACCGGTGAATTACCTCATCGAGCCACTGGAACCATCTTCTGACCAACGTCGTCGTGGCCAGGAAATTGTCCAGGTCTCGGGACTTAAGCCCTGCTACGACCCTCCTGTGTTTACTTGTCCATAGGTCGCCAGGATGGCTCCTTATTTCGCGGGGAGTAATTGTAATGAATCTAAATAACGGACGCTCTGCTGGTAATGAAGAAGACGAGGATGATCGGTGGCTGCAGTAGTAGCTCGCGCACGCCGCTCGCCATTAGCCAGACCTGCCTGATAAAGCACATTTTGCCAAGCTGTGTCTGAACCTTTCTCGGCGTCCAACACCTCTATTTTAATATATATATATATATATATATATATATATATATATATATATATACAGTAAAACGTACTGCATTCTTTTGTAGAGGCATTAGAGATGATGAACAAAAAGAACGGCGTTTCCGTGCGTGCCAGTGAATTGCAGTGCGCGGGAAGGCACTTGGAACTCCTAATATCCTTGTTTTTAGCTTGGAATCTGTGTAGTAAAATAAGCAAATACTATCATTCTATCGGCGACGATCGAAATTCAATGCAAATGGCTATGGCAATCTCCTTATATTATTATTCATGGTTTTCACTACGACCATCACACACAGGGGATGCCGTCGTAAGCTTAACGTATGGTTAGTGACATATTGTGCCATTAATCGTAGAACCTGAACAAGAATGTGAACAATGATGACCAAATTTATGTCCAAGCGGGTGAAAAAAAAAGCTAAACTGTTCAGTGTACACTTTAGAAGCGCAATGTCTCATACGTAGAAATGACTAACCACTTCGCGAGTCAATGCAAATGCCAGTCATATAATCTGTTGCACTAATTTTCTTTTTCTACTGTAAAAAAAATCTGTCGCATAGACGCTCTAATCTCACGAAGCACAAAACAAACACACTAAGCACGTTAGCTACAGTCCGGCTTGTTTTGAGAAGTGCGGAGACACTGAAAACAGTAATTCTAAACATGAAAATGTAAAAAGATCACAAACATTACTTCTGACACGAAGAATCATAACCAAATGTGCCATCTTCCAGAGTGGTGTAGTGGTTAGCGTGTTGGACTCGCAATCTGCAGTGTGGCTAGAAGTCGAGGTTCGAGTCTCACTGTGTCATATTTTTTTAGCCTCTCTTTTTTTTGTCGTAGTGCTCATATTAAGCCGATCCGTGCACGAAGAAATTCGTCAAAAACAATTTCGTCAAAAACAAGCCCGATTTCGGTCACAGTTCTTTTGTTTTTTTATGAGGTGTACCACTACTCTATTTGGTGGGGTCAAGCTACTCTGCTTTGGGGTGCTTTATGATGCTCTGTTGAGGGAGAGTGCTTTGACCTGTTCTGGAGGAAACACTGTACTCTGCCTCAACAAGAAGTATTTCCACTGAAAAAGAGCGTGAAATATGGGACAAGAAATTACTCACCCAAAGAGAGTGCCTAGCACTCTCTTAGTTTTTAGAGTGTGAAACGAGCTTTAAGAGTTCGCTCCCAACGCCCTTATGGATCGTCACCGTATAGAAACAGCTCCGCTTATACACTGGGAAATATGGTATATATTACATAAAAAAAGGAACAATGGTGCATGACAAGCAAGCTCACCGTCTCCAAGAGCAGAGTCTGGAACTTTATCACGAATGACCCGGCAGGCATCGTAGACAAGCGTGCCAGGCTCAAACTGGATAGTCTTGATCACCTTGTTGTCAGGTACACTGATCTTGAGAGAGAGCATTGCCATGCCCACAGGTTGCCTGCACAGAGTCAAAAATCGATCGGCTCGCTTCATGAATGACACTTCCTAGTAGAAGGCTTCGTTAAAAAAAAAAAAGGCCAGGCCTGCGCGGAAGGCACAACACAGTCCCAGCGAAAGCTAGAATAGCAGCCTTTCAGAGTCTTTTCCAAACACTCATTGGGTAACTACTGCAAGCACACTTGCTTGATACCCACTAGGAATAGTCAACTTATAGGTAGTAGGCCGACATTCCCTATGCTATTTTTTATCATTCTTCTGAGAAGCGTGGTATTCGCTAAACACTTGCAAAGAATTTCTTGCCAATTGTTCAGGCAGTGGCTGACGACGATGAGGAATTATGGCTGAAGTGGCCATGCACCACAATTAATAAGGGAACAAGCTTTTGTGATGGGTTGGAGCATTGGGAGGCTTACTCGTTATGCTAATCCCATTGTGTGATGACTGGTTGTTCTTTCACTGTTTTAAAACGCTTTATAAGTCATATTAGCACGATCCCTTTCCAGGCAAGCCTGCCTAAGGCAAGTTTGACAACAAGTCACAAGCACCGGTGTAGCTCAGTGGTAGAATACTGGGCTGGCATCCAGCAGACCCGGGTTCGAGCCCCACTATGTCATTGGTGCTAGGTCAAGCCTGCCGAAGGCAAGTTTGACAACAAGTTACAAGCACCAGCGCCACTCAGTGGTAGAATACTGGGCTGGCATCCAGCGGTCCCGGGTTTGAGCCACACTGAGTCATTGGTGCTACGTTTTTTTTTTCTTTTTTCTAATTTCGTGTGAAATGGTTATGGACACCAGCGGCGGGGACGGACAACTGCGCGTAACCCGAGTTGTGATCTCATAACAGCTCTCGCTGTAAAAGCTTCCCACGAAGATATTCAGCCCTATTGAAAGCTTGAGCACAAAGATCGGTTAACACAACTTCGTTTCAAGGCAAAGCAAAACAATAATTAGCAAGTTTTTCCCGAGATGCCACGTCTAGCAACCGCACCATGAGGTAATGTGGGTCCTCTGAGAATAGCTCTGGTAGAGCGCCACTGCAACGGTAATTCCATTCGGTCCAAAGGGAAAAATGCGACTTTCAAAACTCCTCAATACACTGCAAGTTGGCAGCCTTAGTATTAGCGTCACTCATAGCTTTGAAACATATACTTTACAAGGTTAGCCTAGCGGTCCAGCCTTGCTTTAATGCTCACGCCTTGAAAAATCACGGGCCACACTTGTTACTGTATATGGCTCCTTTAAAGGTAGCATAAGCAGTAACTTTAAACCAGGCCAGATGGGAGACACAATGCGCATCGCCTTCGCGTTTTTAATTTAGCCCAATCGTGACATGACCTTTTTTTTACCTCATTAACACTCAGTGGAATGACGACCTTGATCCAAGCTTAGCATTCGGTAAACCAATTATTCACAGCTGTTGCCAGGCACATATATTCAAATGCAAACATTTGTCTCTAAGATGGTACAATTGTACCCATAGATCAGCAAAAGATGAGGAGCTTATTCAGACTCACTCATGAAATACGTTTCACCCTTGACTCAGACTCACGAAAATTCTCTGCAACCAAACTCACTCAGATTCACACTCACCAAATTGTTACTCACTTGACTGAGACTCATGGCTCGATCCGCTAGGGTATCATAACCATTGTGTCAATGCTATTTAACCCCATTATCTCGCATAATCACCCTTATGCTTGGTGCCTTTCATCTTGTATCATCACAGCCTGTGGTAGCAATTGAGCAAGGAAATTTTTATTGAGATTACTCACGCATAGCATTTCGATCTAGAGTTTCTGGGCCACAGCACCTCCTTTTCCTCACATATGTGAACTGGTGTATGAACGCTAATGCGTTGAAGTTTTTGTGACTAGAAACGTGAGCCGACACAAGAATGATAGCCATGGCAAAAAAAAAAGGGTAGAGCCCACGCAAGGAATTGGGGGCTCACTGAACGCACTTCCTCAACCAGACCCGCCCAAAATTTTTCTCAGCCAGACTCACTCAGACTCGAGGCTGTATCAGAGTCTGATAGAGTCGACCCATGAGTTACGTTTGCCGACCTATGATTGTACAACAATTGATTTATGCATGAATACAAGCATGTTTACTTAGAACAACTCAAAAGATGAAACACAGCGAGTGCCCTGCGCTTTGCTGCCGACAGCCCTAAGCTTTTCTTTAGCCCGGCGACCCCTAGGTCACCTAACATTTTCCAAAAATGCACTTCATTTTGTAAATGAATATGACTTTGCCTGATGCTTCAGTCACGGTACTAAAAGCGTAAGCTGTTTAAACTTACAGTCTCTGCTGTTTACTATGCACTAAGTTCGTACAGGTTTCAAAGCAGAAAAATTAAAGATACTCAAAGAATGTCAGGGGCCTGTCTTGCGCTTTTCAAGGACTGAAAATAACATCCAAATGAGGATTTTCTTTTGTTATAACAACGTTTCCAATTATGACTAAACCATTCACACTTATACAATTTATATATGCATACAATAACATATACATGTTAAACACAGTTTATCAAAAATCACCATCACACTTAAATAACTTTGTTAAATCAGCAAGTTGGAAAAAATTGAGAAAGCTGCCTTTCAGTCTGAAACATAAATTCTGATACCAGGACACCCGAAATTTACACTGGCATTGTGGTAAAATGGTGCAGACGACGAGAAGAAGAATATACAAAGCTCTCATAGGTTCTATCACCAGCAGTGTTTCTCCACAATGTTCATGAACCAACCAGCCCACCAAAGAATCGTTATCATTCCTCACATGCTTGTTTGTGTGAAAGGTCGATACAGTAGTACCAATCACATATGTGGTTCAGGCTATGCAAGCCAAGCCGACAGTGACGTGAAACATGAGCTGTAGGCAAAAATGCAAAGATGAGTGGAATAAATGCACGGGTTATGCGAGTAGCTCAAGACAGTTGCCAGGACATTATCAGTGCCACGTAAATCGTGAAAAGCACACACTAAGTAGAAGTCACAGTGCAAGCACACCCCACATATTGCCACATGGTTTGCTTGGGTGAGATCGAAGAGTGAAAGAAGACTAAGACGATCTCTCTGAGCCGCTGCTTGAGTAGTCGACTAAACGAGCCCATTTTTTATCAAGTTTGTCGAGAGTAACGTGACAAGACTGGTGGAGGTGCTGGGTACAACGTCTCGCAATCCACCCGATGCCCAAGACCCAGCCGGAATACAAGCCCTGCCCCCGTGGACACTCCTGTTCATAGAGTAAGCCGCCGCCAACGAGGCCTACCGCCTGAGACACCAACCACTGACGCAGCGACTATGACTTCGACACAAGATCCCATGCAAGCTCCGACACCTTCCACGCCGATCTACTGCACCGTCCAGAACCCGCTCATGCCTAGCCCCTTTCACGGAGCGCAGCATGAAGATGTTGACGACTGGCTGAGTGAGTTCGAACGTGTCGCAGCGATCAATTACTGGGATGATGCCGCGAAGCTCCGGAACGCGTACACGTGCCTAAAAGACGGTGCCAAGACATGGTTTTTGAACAGGGATGATGTTCTGACATCTTGGCACGAGTTCCAGCGTCGCCTCCTGGAGACCTACAGGAGTCCCGACCGCCGCGAACGGGCGGAGCGTGCACTTCAATCACGCATCCAGATGCCCAACGAGACCGTCTCGATGTACGTCGAGGACATGACACGGCTTTTCAAGCGAGCGGATCCTGCTATGGCAGAAGAAAAAAAGTTGCGCCACCTCATGCGCGGTGTGAAGGAACCACTTTTTGCTGGTTTGGTGCGTAGTCCCCCCAAAAGTGTTGCTGAGTTCCTTACTGAAGCGGCAACAATGGAGCGAGTACTGCACCAACGGTCTGCCCAGTTTGACCGTCAAGTGAATGCTGCCTCAACTCCCGAGATTTTCGCCACCCCTGGGAGCAAGAGCCCCGAATGGATTCGCGAGATCCTTCGATCTGTCATCCGGGAAGAAATGGAAAAGATGTACGGGACAAGGCAAATCGATGTTGGTTCTATCACCAGTGTCATCCGCGACGAGGTCCAGCAGGTGCTGCACGCCCATCGTTTTCCGCCCACGTCGGTTGATCTGGAAACGGCTCCTGTGTCTACTGACAGTCGCCGTCGTACGTACGCGGAAGCCTTGCGATCTGCCACTCCTCTTTCGGGTCAAGGAGTCCCGATCCAGCCAGTGCCGCACGTCTCGATCCAGACAGTGCCGCACGTCCCGATCCAGACAATGCCATACGTCCCGATCCAGACAATGATGCCGTCAGTCGCGATTCAGTCAGCGCACGCAGATTTGGACATCGATAGTCGCCGTACACCGACGCGCAAGTCCGATCTCTGGCGTACGCCAGACAGACGACCCCTCTGCTATCATTGCGGTGAGGCTGGTCACATTTACCGCGAATGCCCATACCGGCAACTTGGACTGCACGGATTTTCCGTCAATTCCCCTCGTCCCCGAATTGGTCAAAGGCCAAGGGATATCGAAGAATATCTCGCGCAACAGCGTGCACCCTTTACACGACGGCAATCGCGGTCACCATCTCCGAGGAGACCCGCAGCCACTGGGCCACGTTTTGGGGTGACGGCACGGGAACGCTCCCCGAGCCCTCGTCGGGAAAACTGAAGGCAGCGGCCTTCGGGGGCAAGGTCGCTGGGACTCAAAGTGCGGAAGACCTCCCATCGATGCTTGCACGCAACGCCGAAGGCATTTCGTCAGAGAATAATCGCAGTGCCGAAGAAACGCCGACATCCGCATCTGAACTTAGCGACCGCGTGTCGCTCGACATACCTGTGCTGGTTGACGGTCTTCAGGTCAGTGCATTGGTAAACACTGGTGCAGACTATTCGATCATCAGCGGGAGGCTAGCGAAAGATCTCAGGAAAGTGATCACGCCGTGGAATGGAACGCGAATTCGAACAGTTGGAGGACACGTTGTAACACCGCTGGGTCGCTGTACCTCAAGAGTGAAAATTCGTGCGTCAATGTTT